GTGTGTGTGTGTGTGTGTGTGTGTGTGTGTGTGTGTGTGTGTGTGTGCATAGTGCTGGGATTTGAAACCAGGGCCTTACGCACAGTAGGCAAGTGCCAAGTGTCTTATTACTGAGTTACATCTTCTATCCAAAGGCATTTTGTTTACTCTCAGTCCTCGCTGTGTTTAGACGCTAAATTTGAAATGTGAAGGAGAAAGAGACGAACATTATTTCTAAGCTCATCATGTTGTTTATCCAATTAAGTCAAATAATAAAGCGTGTCATATTAAGACTGAAGAACCACAGAAAAACCATCTCTAACAGAACTAAAATAAATGCCTTCCTCTTTTCTTTCCATGTCTGTATATAAAGGCAACCTGTTGGGTGTTAATGCCAGATGCTTTCTGTTGCCTGACTCAAAAGTTGCAGTCATATTTGCCAGAAATTAAAGCAATTACATAAGGCCTGCACCACTGATTAGACTAATTAATAACCACCCAGTACTTGTGGGTTTGCCCTTTCTGTAGCTGGATTGGGCTGACAGAGTTTGCAGGTCTCTGCTTTCACACTAGATGTTTGCCGTACAATGAAAGACACCATCTGAAACCTCTGTTGTGCAGAGCTCCCGGGATCTGACCCTCTTTGCTGTCCTGCATCAACACTGGAAAAACAAGATTTCATTCCCACCCATAAAAAGAAACACCTGTTTTGCTAATCAGTGAGGAAGTTTTAGTCAAAACGGGTGCACACTATTTGGAAACAGCTTAGAGATTCATGGTGACAGCCTATTCGGCTTTTGTTGCATTGACAGACAAAAGCGGCTTTCCAAAACCCTCTTTCACCTGGGACAGACACAATTTAGAGAAACACGTTTGCTCTGTCTGCAGTAGAATTGTGGGCATAGAGCAATCATAGAGCAATGAGATGTTAGTGTCTCAATGCAATGCTTATGCCCGCTCCTCCCAAGCGTCCTTGACTGTATGTGGTGATAGCTTAGTTGAATACCAGGAGATAAAACCCCTGCACTAAAATTCTTGACATTTCCTGTTTTTTTCTATTATCTTCAGGTGACCTTTTTCTTTTTCTGCCAGTCACATAAAATGAACATGAAGCAAAAAAAAAAAAAAAAAAAAAAAAAGGATAATCAACAGAATTTTTACATTTCATTATGTAATAGTTTAGAAAGACTGTAACATGTTAGTGTCATCATGAGAGCTGGCCTGAGGTACACTGCTTCAAACTGCCAGTAAAGAACAATCATGTCCATGATCAATGTGTGAGTTTAGCGACCATGTGAACAGGGGTCAATTGAGAAAGATGACCTCATCAATTCCACACTGGAGCTACAAAGCCAAATGCCCCTGAAAGCCGATTTCATCGCAATCCGAAGAGAGTGAGCATGCATTGCAGCATTCAGGAACCAGCTGGAGTCACCTGTGGAAGACGCACATGGCTTGCCCTCAAGCCATGAGGAACACAGTTAGCCGAAGGCAACCTGTGTGTGCTAGCTGTAGGAAAACATAAGCTCGTAAGTTATATTTTACCTGTCATGCTTAAATCTTTCTTTTGTAAATCAAAGATGGTTTCTGCTAGAAGTAATTATAAATCAGTATTCTACTGTGGGGGGCGGTCAAAGAAGTTTGTTTGTGTGTGTGTGTGGTTTCCAAATTCCAGGACTATTAGTCTAAACCACAGGCGACCTGGGTAATAAAATCACATTGGAAGGACATCTTCCATTTTTAAGCACTCTGCGCCTCTGGCCTCTGGCGGGCATTTCCTTGTTAGTCTTTCAGAGCACTAAAGCTGTAAAAGAAAAGCACACACTCTTCCTCTAATGTACTAATTGAAGACACATTATATAAACATAAATAAGTAAACATTTTCTAAAAGAAGTTAAAAATTTTTTGTGAGTTTGGTGACTATTGGCTTGCTTTTGTGATCCACCATGATCCTGGGATGGTTTGTTTTTCTGTTTGTTTGTTTTTCTCTTCCAAACTACTTGGGCATGCATTTTTAAGCATTTAGCTTTTATAACTAGGACAAGTACTCTGCAGGTGATGTATTTTGTTGTGGAAGTGAGCAGAAACACAGTATGCTACAACTTAAAATCTGTTCTGCAGCAATATGGCCAAGTTTCAAGCTGGGAGTTGAAAACTTAGATGTTTCCCCCGTGGCTGCTGGGTCTCACTTCTCTGAGACGTAGTGTCACTGGTCACTTAAGAAGATGGTGTGCATCTATCAGCAGAGCATAGAGGACAGGCACCATCTTAATGGCTCTTGGGTGTTTATAGGCTCTGGGGACCAAGATGGAGTGAAGTCAGCTAAACAAATGAACAGGATCTTTCACTAGTTAACTGACTAAACGTATTCTGGGTTGTTAAGGGAACTGATCAAGAGAGAAGTGGGGTGAATCAAGACATGATGGGGAGGTAACTGGGGTGCCCTTTGTCTGATGTCAGCAGAGTCTCCTGAGACCTACATTCACACAAAGGCTAACAAAGGAGCTCATATCCCCAGTGTGGGGTGGCTGTTGCTTCTGACCTGACACATTCCCACCTAGAGAGAGGCAGGAGACTGGGATAACCCAAGCAGCTAAGAAACTTACAAGACTCAGGAAGCCCAGAAATCGAAAGGATTCTCAGATACCATGGCCAAGGTTAAATTAAGCCATGACCACTGCAATGGGGAGAAGAGTCTGGGTTGGAGCTGCCCTCCAGGGGAGCAGGGAACTCTGGGAAGGCAGCTTCTGTAATTTATCACCCATGTTGGGGTGGGCTTTTCAGTGAGGTAGAGACCGGCAAGTCACATGTTCTTGTAACAACCTTTCCCCGATGTCCCTGGGGGCATCTTAAGAAATTCCCTGGGATTTCTGGTGGGAGGGAGGTGAGACTCACCTTCATGCTCTCAGCCACCCACCATCCTGGGTTTTCCGTGCCTGAACACTAACTTCTAACAGCTCGTTTCACCAAGCTGGTGGTCACCTTACCTCTTTTTGACATGACTTTTCTCATGCAAAACAACACAGACAGTACATTAAAGGTATAAGATACAAATGAACAAAAACTAAATCCAACAATGCAAAGCTACAAACTCCAAAAGCCTGAGGAGAAATACCTCGTGGAAATGGCATCCACAGTTGCCCTGCAGAAATTCTTTGTGCCGTCCCATCGTGACAGTGAATGTGTCCACTACTTCGTAGCCGTGCTTCTTGGCAGCCTCCAGAATGCGCAGATTTTCTTTATGTAAGTTCTGTACTTCACTCTGTATTGCCAAGCAAGAGACACAGGGTTTTTATTAACTGAGGATTATCTTATGATTTAGCAACTCGAACAGACATTATGTAAACAGCATCTTCTTTTATCAAGATCGGTTGTATTGTGAGATGAATGTCATGTCAATTTTAAAAATAAAGACACGCTCTAATTTTTTTCTCAAAGCATCAGCATAACCATTCATGTATACATGATGCAACAATTAATGGATAACAGATATTCTCAGTTTTTATTTTTTTCCTTACCTAAAAACGATTAAGTTTATTGCTCATAAGTACATTTAAAATTTTCAAATTGTAAACTGGTATTTGACATACCACGGGACAGGCCTTCATTTGCTTGGATTCACATTTAATTAAGCCACTTGAATATTAGTTGGCACCTGATTTTTGCTTCGCTTCCTGCTGAGGGACAGAACGGTGGGTTACATGGTATGTGGTCCATGCTTGTACGTCACAACCCTCTAATTGGAGAAATGGATCTATCCACAGCTAGTAAGTCCTTCATTCGGGGAAAGCACACCAGATTCTGCGCTGAGAGGAGGATCCCTGGCAGAAGTGCGGCAGCTGCACCATGACACTTCCAGAGGACTCCAGGGTAGTTTGGAGTGAGGTTTGCTACTTGGACATGGAGGAAGAGTATGGTCGGGTGAAGCAGCAGAACTGAGCGAGGGTTCCGGCTGCTGTCCCTCTGGATCACAGTCTCCCCTCCTGTCTTGCTGTGTTGCTGCCAGTGACTGAGTCTAGCTAGGGCTCTAGTTCAAGTCCACCCTGTCAGGAAGGGACAGCACCACCTATTACTCTGGCTCCAAGACCTTCCCATGCCTGGTTCAGTTTCTCAAAACCGGCCTGCAATCTGAGACTTTCTCCCCAATCCAGCCTACTTCCTCTCCTTTCCCATCAGACACTGTGTCAAATTCAGTCTTCAGCACGTTGGCTACTCGGTAGATATGTGGTGAAAACTGAACGGCATTCATTGGACTGCAGTGCAAATGCTTCCTGCCTACGCCTCAACACTTCTGTTTATCCCCTCTACGCATTTCCTCAGCACTTCTTCTTAGTCCATCAGTCCTGTTGTGATGCCTCCCAACGAACACAGGGAAGGAATCACCATCCCGTTTCCCATCTCTGAAAGGTAATAGGAATTTTTTTTTTCCTCATTAGAAAAGGCAAACAACTACTAGCATTTGTTAAGCCAACAGCAGGATAAAAGAAGTGGAACACATCATTTATTTTTCTTCTGTTTGCGGGGCTTGCATGCTTATTTATAACCTAGCACTCAGAGAAGATTGTTTTCTTTAAGATAAAGTCAGTGACTAGAGAAATGTCATAAAGAGGAAGCCCCAGATTAATACTTAATAAGTTAATACTTGACTGGTGTGAGGAGGTGGAAGAGAATATGATCCATGAAGAGGACATGGATTTGAAGACCCAGAGCCACTGAGAGCATGGCATGGTCTCATGTACGTGTGTACCTGCGCTCTGGTGAGAAGGGGAGAGTCTACACAGGAAGCCAGAGGCCCATCTTGAGCAGCTCTGAGAGTATATGCTAGAGTTCAGAATGGGGTCCCTTGCTTCTTTCTGTTTTCTACCTCTCTTCTTCCCACCTCCTGCCTTCACTCTGTTTATTAAAACCGACGAGCTGGACCACGGCTCTGGCGGCAGGCAGAATCTCAACAGTCTACAGTATAGTAAGTGCAGAAGACATACCTGCTGAGACAAATGGTTGGGAGCTAACGACCTAAACATAAGGGGTCACAAGTACCAGCTGCTGTGAAGGACACTGTAACCAGAAATAAGCGGTGCTACCAGCATCTCCCGGAAGAACCGCAGCCTTTGAGTAACACTGAAAAGGTTCTAACTCCTAATTTAGGGCACAAAACTATCCAAGTTTCCTTCCCTGATCCCCAGTTGTCCTAAAACCTTCTACTCCAACTTACTCTAAGTTGCCCAAACCCAAGATGGCCTCAGTATGGCGGATTTGGAGTTCGGGCTTTGACTACAGTTCTCTTGCATTGTAGATCACTCGGCATTCAAGAAGGCAAAGTTTTGAGTAAGAAGGCGATACCACGCTTTTTGTGCTTGAAAACACTAGATGGGCTCAATATAGACACAAAGGATGACCTTAAGCTGCTGACAGTGTGTCCCTGACCTGTGACTGTGCTCACTTGTAAACATGGGCTGGTCTCTGCGCTTGAACAGGAACGGCTGGTTCTCTGACCTACAGATACCTTTCTTTCCCATGCTATTTTTTTCTTCTCAGTGCTGAGACAAATTTACTATCTCAAGAACTAGCCAGAGGCACCTAAAACCTCTCATTTATGGCTATCCAACTAGAGAAAAAACCAATAATATTACACACACACACACACACACACAAAAGATACTATTTCCCAAAAGAGTCACTGATATTGACGGTCTCACTTGTGGTTTCAGCATGAATCTGAGAGCCTCTTGCTAGAACCTCTAACAGTGAACACACAAGCTCTCTCATCTATGCGTTCATTGCTGTTTAGCACAGCTTGGATTTGGTTTTTTTCTTCCTCGATCTCAGCACATCATTTATAGTATATTTATGGGCTACAGTCTCCTGGTCTGCAGGAACAGTTAGGGTACATTTGGAATATATTTCATAAGTGCATATATATATATTTTTTTATTTTTATGAAGGCTGACAAAATGGTAGCATGTCTGTTGGCTCCTTTGTGATCAGGGATCCTAAATCCCTGCAGCCTAGGAGAAACGGCCTTACCTGTGTTAGGAAATGCACTCCTTCCACCGGCAGATGAAATCCAATCCCCAAGGTTTTGATGATCACTAGGATATTGAGCAAATTTTCCCTGCATGAAATGATGAGAAAAGTCATAGACTTCAGCTGCATTTCCACACGTTTGCTAATTGCACAAACATATATGACAGAGTCCTTTCAGAGTTTAGAATTTAGGTTATTGATGTGCCATATAGTAAGATTTTTCTGTAGACAGTGTTTTGTGTGTTAATTAGCTAATAGTGACAACTAGGTTGTTTCCGATGGGAATGTGTGAGACAGTGCTCTGAGAACCTTCGCTCTATATGCATGTTTGCTGTGACACAACGTCTTGTTCTGTGTGTTTGAATTACAGGTATGTGCTACCACACCCGACCAGAAAATATGTTATGACCCAGAGTAAATTTTAAATTAGAGTGCTGAAGATCCCGGGTTAAATATGAAAGTATTTTGAAGTGTGAAAATTTCCTTTAAATCTCTAATTTTAAATTCCAAATCTGCCCTCGCGATAAGCCCCAGATGAGGTTTGGTTACCTAAACGCTACTTTCAAAGAAAAGATTAAGACATTGATGACAGTAGTTGCAGAGATTTACCTCTTTAAAACCTTGTGAATAATTTGCATGTGATTGGAATTAAGCCACTGAACACCACCAACAACCAACACCGTCTGGTCAGTATTCTCTAAGGGATGCGATCTGGAATCCAGAAAGAAAAGCAACACATGTTGTTTTAGAACAGATGGTAAACATTTTAACTGGATTGCCTCCTGTGTCAATGAACCACGCCTGGCTTCCTGATCACAAGACTTCCTTGTCATTTGCAGTCCGTTTTCAGTCACGTTAGTGGGTATCTAAGCCTTTCAGCACACTCGATACATCACGTTCAGTGGTGACTGCACAGTGGTGGCATTTTGCCATTCGTGGTAGCTCCGTTGTACCTTTGCAGGAGATGCTCAAGCGCTGTCTCGAATGTTGGTCTCGATGAAGGGCTTCTCCAGAACTGCGGGTAGTAGGAATAACCGATCAGTGTCTTGCCACCGTTGACCCTGGGGTAGAGCTTCGTGCCATGTACTTTCTGCCCCTCCTGCAGTGTTTCATTCAGTCTCTCGATGAGGTAGTACATCATCCCTCTGTTGGTGGAGTCTCCAATGAAAAGAATCTGTACAGAAAACACGTTTGTTGTCAAATCAGACGTTTACCTGGTACATAGTACAATCAAAAATATTTTGTTAAGTGCTCGCACAGCTACACCTCTAATCGAAGGGTGGTCCTTTAGCCTTTAGAAACATCCGTCATCTTCCCTATCATTATATCCCCCTAACTTGCTCACTTATCTCTTCCATGTTTTTAGTAATGACATCATCTCCTGATTTAGTAATTAGTGTCTGAAACTTTCATTTGATATTATTTTTCAATTTTTCTATCTCCCTCATATCCATTGTTTTAATGTTTGTCTAGTCAGCTAACAAGTTTAACTAATAAAAAAAGATCCATGGAATACTGCAGAACTCTAAGAACACTTGAGCTTTTTCAGTCTGTGTGATAGATGTGCTAACCCACAGAAGGGGTTCCACAGAAAACATGCCATTACCTAAAAGAAGAAAGAAAGCAATGTCTGACTGGAACCTTTGTGAGCGGTGTCTCGCTCAGCTTTGCGCATCCCAGCGATACTTGTTTGCAGTGAGGGCTGTCCTGCTCCTGGCACAGCTCAGCTTCAGGCTTGTACCGCCTCAAACCTGTACTGCTGTAAACATACCACTTACAGCTTCTCTTCTGCACCCCAATTCGTTCAAAGCTATCTCATTGGCATGCTCAAAATTGCATTCATCACCATTGTCGACAGAGTCAATTCTGACCTAGTTGTGTTTAGTCAACAGTTACTGAGACTTCATTGCGTAATAGTCTCCGTTATGTGGAGACTGCCACAGATGGGAAATTTGAGACTTGGGGGATGGGTCGTAAATCTAGTCAATGGTGAACACAAGCCTCAAACCCAGGTCCTCTGACTTCCAGAGCAGGTCAGTGGCCCACCTTCTCACTGCATCTCCTTGTGTTAGCGTGGCACACTTAGGGTTTCTCATGGAACGTGATTTGTATTCCACAACATCTGTTTTTCCCTTGTGTTAATCCATCTGCCTAGAGAGGTCCTTCCTATGCAATCCCCCATCAACCACCAGAACCAACATAAATGGCGCTCCTACCAAAGGTCTCCTCTGGTGTCCCAGCTACAGTTACTCACTGTATTCTGTGACTCCATTAAATTTCAGTTTCGTTATAGATTTTATCAAAGGCTGAGTGACATTATGGCTACTTGCATCTGTGTCTTTTCTGTCATATATTACCAAGAAGTATTTGAAAGGTAAATTTTAAAGTTTGCTTTCCTTCATGGTGCCACACACACACACACATGAAAAATACACAGAGAGTCAAAAGTAATAGGAACGTTTTCGGATAAGATTTAACTCATTCTTCAGTTTTGCTTTGTTTTCTCTCTCTCTCCAGGATTTGGTTTTTCCCTTAGCGATGCACATATTCTGTTACAGTTAGAACAGCACAAACTGCCATCAGTTCTCATTTCTCACATCCACAGTGAAGCTTCTAAGAATCTGCAAAGGTGTATTCCCTCCTCGGTGTGCTCAACTACCTCCCTGAGGAAGCCTAGGAAGCTATTCCAATTAGCCTTCAGATACAATACTGCTGTCATAGGCATAGTTGCTGAACAGAGGAATGTGGCATGCCTTGCGGTCAAATTCCATCTGGGTGGTAATAGTCTAGCACCATAAGATAGTGAAATAAATCGAATTGATTCTTGATAAATTTTACATCTGGTTTTATGGTCTAGATTTTTGATTTCTTTAAAAATGATTTCTCTTTAGTGGTAGAGACTGAACTCTGGTCCTTACTCACACGAGAGAAGCTATCTGTCACTAAATTGTCTCTCGTCTTTCCATTTTTAGACAGGGTCTAAGCTATCCATGCTGGCCTTAAACTTGCTCTGTAGCCTTGGCATGCCTTGCGAACCTCTTGATTAACTCTCACAAGTGGCTGGGATTACAGGTTTGTGGCACTGGGTTCAGGAGAATTGTTACTTTTCAAGAGGACTTTTGGGCCACCAAGAAAATGCTTCAGGAAGTAGCGACCACTCAGTTCCGTCTGTGGTAGTTTGTTGGGGTTCTTTACCGCAGACAGAACAGCTTCAATAACATAGATTGCTTTGTGAATGTTTCCCGAAGCCAGAAATACACATCCAAGAGGCTGACAGGGCTGTTTCCTTCTGGAGGACTCTTCAGCTGGTCGATGTTGGTCTTTTCTGTCTGCCTGTGGTCTCCCTCTGTGTATCTGTGTGATCGCATCCTAACACTCTGGCTATACTGGATTTTGTAGACCACACATCTGCCTTGTTTTACCCTGTTTGCCTCTTCAGTGACCTTATGTCTGAATATCAGAACTGTCTGGGATATGAGGGTTTAAACGTTCAGCTTATGAATTTGATGGGGATAATGCAATTCAACTCAGAACACTAAGAATCATTGAGACAGAGTCTTTTGTTGTTGTTATTGTTTTAAGACAGGGTCTCTATAAAGTCCAGACTACCCTCTAACCCATGATCTTCCTGCCTCACACTCTCACATGTCAGCTAAATCAACTAAAGATTTCTCATTGTTTCTTTTCATTTCCACATCCTCTCCAGCATGTGTTGTCACTTGAGTTATTAATCTTGGCCATTCTGCTGGGTGTAAGGTGAAATCTCAGGGTTGTTTTGATTTGCATTTCCCTGATAACTAAGGACATTGAGCATTTCTTTAAGTGTTTCTCTGCCATTCCATATTCTTCTACAGAAAATTCTCTGTTTAGCTCTGTACCCCATTTTTTAATTAGATTATTTGATTTGTTGCTTTTTAACTTCTTTAATTCTTTATATATTGTGGATATCAGCCCTCTGTCAGCTGTAGGGTTAGTGAAGATCCTTTCCCAATCTGTAGGCAGTCATTTTGTTTTGATGACGGTGTCCTTTGCTTTACAGAAGACTTTCAGTTTCATGAGGTCCCATTTATTGATTGTTGACCTTAGAGCCTATGCTGTTGGTGTTCTGTTCAGGAAGTTGTCTCCTGTGCCAATGAGTTCTAGTATTGAATTTAATCCTTCCCAGGCAGTGTGCACCGCACTAAGTATCCCAAGCATTAGGTATTTCTAACATGGACTACAGAAAGATATGGGAATTCAGACAAGTCAAAGAAATTGCATATTACTTCAAGAACATCTAGATTTCCTGTCTTTTCCATGTGGCTTTATCCGAAGCCCACCAAAGCACATCAGAAGCAAATTAGCACTGTTTCAAAGCCCTTATGTACTACTCTTTAAAAACTAGATGATATTTTAAGTAAATTATGTTCCTTCTACAAAAGTTTGTTTCCTTTGTGTGTAAATTGGAGGGAATAACTGCACCAGAGGGCTTAAGAGATGTCAAATACCAATTACTGGCAGTCAGAGAGTGAAATGCCAATGTATGCTGGTCTCGAAGCACAAGAAAGATGAGCAGCACGTTTTATGTTTCCAGGGTACACTGTAGGGTGCTTGAAACTCACTAGCACACACACAAACATGGCAGAAGTAAGAAGAATCAAAGTCCTAACTAGCTCTCTTCCATCCCCATCAAGCTAGCTACCACTGGGAGCAGCAGGCCTGAAAATCAAAACTCTTGCTGGAGGACTGAAGCCATGAGCCCTCTCAACGGGGCCCTGGAGTCTCCATGGCGGAGTGGTAGCCAGTAAGAGCTACATGCAGATTGGTAGACAGTTCATGCTCCACCATGAGCAAACAAGTGCTGCTCCATAGTCTTCTTTAAAGCAGGTGGTACTAGATAGCTGTCAAGATACAGACCAGGAAAGAATCTCCTGGAGGGTTACTTGATCCAGGCCTTTCTATTTATGGAAGGTGGAACTGATAAAATCTAACTAAAGCATTCAGCCATTATCTTAAGGTTGTTCTGTCAGTGAAAAGGCTTTGCCAGAGCTAAGTTAGGGTTCCTAGTAATCGAATATACCTACCTTCAAAATGTCAGCTCACTCAGTGCACAGAGCACAATTACACAACATCATCAATTACAGGTGGCCTTTTGATCACATGATTTCCCATTCACTCTTTAGTGTCTTAGTTAATTTGCTAAATTACCAAAGGAAGTTAATTATTTATTTTGAAGGATACTTCCTATTTTAAAAGATTTATATTATTATAATAAATATCTGTAGCTGTCTATTGAGTTGACAAATCGTCTCCAGTGAAAACTATAATGGCCTTAGAATGGTGTGCGAAGGTATTGGTTGGCATAAACAACCAAAGGGGGGGCAAGTAAGAATTGACAACAATAATCAACTTTGTTAATAAAAGGCTAAAAAAGCTAGCCCCTGTCCCCAAATTAAAGAGAATTTAAGAACCCAGTAACCATATGGGGATGTGGTAAGCAAACCACATCACGTAAATTGCTTAGTGCAAGTAAAGTAGACTTTTTGGGTCTTTATTCTCTTGTTATATTCTTTAAGTTTTTTAATGGTTTGTTTTACTGTTATGTGTATTGGTGTTTTTCTGCATGTATGTCTATGTGAGGGTGCCAGATACCCTGGGATTGGAAATACAAATAACTGTGAGCTGTCATGTGGGCGCTGGGAATTGAACCCAGGTCCTCTGGAGGAGCAGCCAGTGCTCTTAATCGCTGAGCCATCTCTCCAGCCTCATTCTTCTATTAAGTCTGAGTCTGAAGTAACTTGAGCATTTCTGATTAGCACGAAAGTGTGCCCACACGAGGCTGAAAAGCAGGGATCTCATGAGATAAACGCCCATCTGTCAGCAAGGCAAGGGGCAGCTCAGCTGTAATATGCAGCTGAGATTAATGAGATTGCTAATAAGATTTAGGTCAGGATGAAAATCTAGTCAACAAAACATTTCTCTGTGAATTTTGATATGGTTATAATGAATGTTTTCTAATTATGCATTTTAATTATTTTAGCTATACATGCACAGCCAAATTGCTCTTTGGCATAAAAATAAATGTAAGATCAGGATTTAAGCAACCCACTCTCAATCACACAACACTGAGCAAAACAAAAAAAACAAAACAAAAAAACAAAAAACAAAAAACAACAACTGTGTGATGGCAGGTAG